AATCGCACTAACAAACGACAAACAAGTAGTTTTCCTTTTATTTTATTTTATTTTTTTGGAATGCATAACGGAATCCAAGTAAAATATTTCAAAGTTTTTAGAAAAAAAAAAAGTTTGGAAAAAGAAAAGAGGACAGGGAAAAAAAAAGGGTTTGTTCGAAAGGATGAAAAGAAAATTTTTTTTTTTTTTGTTAAGTTTACATTTAACCAAACCAAAATTCATTTTCCGAAAAACTTTTCTTTTTTTTTTAACCTTTCGCGCACCTGCTCTTATTTATTTCTTCTTTGTTTTTAACAATGCCGGGGTTAAAGTTAAAAAAAAAACAAAAAAATTTTTTTTTTATGCGTCCCGTTTTCATGCATAAACCATAAGATTTATTATTATTATTATTAGGTAACGTAAACAGTACATAAGTTTTTTAGAAAATTTATTAAATTTCTATTTCGTAATGACGAAAGGCGGAAAATGGTATTGAATTTTGCCTTAATAATTTCTATAGCAACAACATCGGTTTTATAAATCCGCTTGTGGCGGTTTTGCGGCGGTTAAATGCCATCCTTATAAAATCATTTCCGTTTAACGACGCAAAATGATATATAAATTTATTTTATTTTATTTTTTTCTTAACCGTGTTTTTCCTTACAACAACAACAACAAAAAAATCCATTTGCAACACACACACACAACCGGAAGTTCAAAAAATTTTTTTTTTTAAATTATCTTTTGCGACAACTACAAACGACTACAATTTTCATATACTTTCATATACAAACGACCGATAAATAAAACTGTTAAATAAAAAAATAAATAAGATGTCAAAATGATATACCATCTTCCTCTCTCTCTCTCTCACTCTTTCTTTCTTTTTTATTTATTTCATTGTAAACACCTTAAAATGAAAAATAATAATAATAATAATAATAATAATAATAATAATAATAATAATAATAACGAAGACGACGACAACGACGACGACATTAAAAAAAAAAAAAAGTTTTAGGCTTTTTATTTCGTTTTTTTTTTTCTTCTTTTCTTTTTTTTCCTCCCTCATTTTCTCTCTCTCCCCTTTCTCTCTCTCTCTCATTTTTTTTTTAATTTTCTTTTTATTTTTTTTTTCTTCTTTCAAGTTTGAAAAAGTGTAAAATAAGATAATATTATAATTCATAATTTAATTTTTTTCGATGCCGCCTTTATTTATATTATATAAGGTATATATATATTTTTTTAAATGATAATAATAATAATGATAGTGATAATGATAATAATAATTTTTTTTTCATTTATTTATTTTTTTTTTATTTTTAATATTTTTTTAATACGTTTTAAACTTTAATAAAATTGAAACTTTTTTCTTTTTTTTATTTTTTTGTACGTAATATAAATTTAAAATTAATATTAATAAACGTTGTTAAACTTTTTTTTTTTTTTTATTACGTAAACGAGTTTTTTAAACTCTCACGTGATATGTATATATATATTTAAAAAGTGGGGGGAGGGGATGATAAGAAGAAATAATAATAATAATAAAAATAAAAATAATTATTTTTAAATTTATATATATGACACGGTAATAATTGTAAGCATTGTGTTTAAGTATTAATAAATTTCGCGTGTGTGAGTGTTTGTGTGTCAATAACGTTTCGAATGAATTTTAAAAAGGAAAAAAGGAAAAAAGGAAAAAATAAAAATATTGTTTTTATTCTTTACCCCTGAAAAAAAAATAGAAAAGAAGAAAAATAAATAAAAAAAAAAAAAGGTTTTGAAAACTGAGTTTATTAGTTTTTTCTCTTTGTGTTTCTTTTTCACCCCGCCCTCCTCCTCCCTTCCCCTATCCCTCCCCCTTCTCCATCTTCCCTCCTACCCCCTAGGAAAAAAAAACTATTATTATTTTTTTTTTTCCTTTAGGCTTTTATATAGTTTAACCTCAATCACTTTTTTTTTTTATGTGAAATTTTTTTTTCCCCAACGTATGGAGACAAAAAAAAATTTTTTTAATAATAATAATAATTATTATTATTATTTGTCGTACGTTTGTTTGCTTGTTTGTTTGTTTTTTTCTCTTTTTCATTTACCTTTGTTATATCGATTAATTTTACGTAATACGAAAAATAAAATTTTTTTCTTCTTTCCTTTATTAAAATTTTATGAAAAAAAAAAAAAATATGGCGGACATGTATATATGTATTATTATTATTTATATTAATCAATGATAAATATTTTTGTCACGATTGTGATTATATTAAAATATGAAGTCTCTAAAAAAAAACCTGTAGTTTGTTCCAGAAAATTTTATGCACAAATTTTACAAAAAAAAAAAAAATTTACTGATAAAAATTTAATCTGGGAAAAAATTTTTTTCGAGGTGTAGTAAAAAAAAAAATTGAAAAAGAAAGAGAAAAAGAGAGATACAGAGAGAAAGAAAGAAAGAGAGAGAGAGAGAGGGAGAAAATATGGTTTAGAAAGAGTGAGAAAGTGATGGTTTAAACAGAGAAAGAGAGAGAAATTGTTGGTTTAAAAAGAAAAAGAGAAAGAGAGAGAGAGAAATAGAGATAATGATGGTTTAGAGAGAGAAAAAGAGACGGAGAATATGATGGTATAAGAAGCGAGACATAGAAAAAATAATGGTTTAAAAAGAGAACGAAAAAGAGAGAGAGAGAGAGGGGATGAAAGGAAATGTTGGACCATGATAAACTTACAACATATGTTGAATTTTAATTTCCCGGAAATACCCGATTAAAAATTAAATATTTATAATTTTATTAAACCGGAAACGTTGAATTTTTTTTTTTTTTTTAAATATAACATCAATTCGAAAAACGTAAAAAAAAAAAAAAAATGATCCTTTGGGAATTATGATATAGAAGAGAAAAACGTAGAAAAAGATAAAAAGAAAGAAAGAAGGAAGGAAGGAAGGAAGGAAAAAAGAGAAGGAAAAAAAATATAAAAAAATTTTGATTGATGCGGTGTTGGGGGGGCTTTTTGCCAAATACAGACGAAATTTCCAAAAAAAAAAATTTATTAATCGAATTCACACACGCACAAACAAACAAACACGAAGAAAAAAATTCATCCGGCGCCGATTATAATTCGATATTATTATTATCATCATTAAACATTATTAATGTGTTATTACGTATAAGAAAAAAAAAGGAAAAACGTTTTCCCACCGTTTCATCTTCATTTTCTCTTAATTTTTGTTTTTCCTTTCTCGAATTCATTTTTTTTCTTCTTTTTCTGCTTCTTATTTTCTTCATCTCTTGAGAATCAAGTCAAATCTATTTATCCAAAACTCGGTTCAAACGAGTTAATTTAATTTAGTTAGGTTTCAAGTTAGATAGATAAAGGACGTGATAAGAAAATTTGATGGATCTGGTTAAAAAAAAAAAAATGATAAAAGTTTTTTTTTTTTAACGCGTAAAAAAATTTTTTTTTTTTTTTTTAATAATAAAACTTTTATTGTTTATAACTAAATTTGTTGTAATTTTTAGTTTTTTTTTTTTTTTTAAACAAAATTTTTCATTACGACTGAAAACATAAATAATTTTTTTTTTAAATTAAATTTTAATATTATATTATAGCACGAATGCTATATATTATAGTTATAGTATATTATATAAGGGCGGTGTAATTTTTTTTTTTTTATTTAAATTCTCGTTACCCTAAAAACTTTTACAAAAATGAATGATTATAGTTTTATCTTTAAAAAAAATAAATTTTTTTTCTCATAAGAAGGAGAGCCACGGGGGAGGAGGTAAGGCGGGGTTAACGAAAGATGGTTTTCCCCACCCCCCGGAAAAAAGAAGAAGAATGAGGGGGGAGGGAAATTCGAAAGGGTTTTAATTTTTTTCGGGTTTTTTATCATAAGAAAAAAAAAAAAAAATTTTTTTAAATTAATTTATCGAAAGTAATTTGACGCCTTCCGTCGTCTACTTTTCGACCATTGATTTTTTTTTTTTGTTTCCATTGATTATTTGAGAAAATGGAAAGAGTAAAAGGAAAAAAAAAAAATTTTCTCGTTGTTGTCCTTTTTTTTTTTTCTCCTAATCTTTTCCCACTCGGTTTCCTTATTTAAAAACGATGAGAATTTATCATGGGATAAGTGACAGAATTTTAAATTTATCATTTGCGCGCATACACTTGCACACCCACACTCGCGTCCCTCCCTTCCTCTCCCCTCCCCACACTCTCCCCCTCCACTCACGACGTTTCCGATAAGTGACGTCACAAAAACCGACATCGAATTTAAATGATGATAAATTAATTTTATTTTTATTTTTTATTTTAATCGATTTTTTTTGCTGTTGTTTTGGTTGTTGTTGTTGTTTGTCGTTTGTTATTGACGTAAATTATTTTTATTTTATACGTTAAATAAACTTATTATCGATTTCGATTGATTGAATTGTTTTATTAAAAAAAAAAAAAAAAAAAAAAAAAACGTTCCAAATAATAATAATATTTTTTTTTTATACGTAAACCGGATATTCGAGTTTAAAAATTAAAAAACGGAGGGCGGGGGTGGAGAATAGGATAATTTATTTAAATGTTAAAAATGATGATGATAATAATAATATTTGGGTCGAAAGAAAGGAAAGTAAAAAATAAAAAGGGCTTGGCAGAAAAAAAATTAAAGGCAAAAAATCACAAATCATTTTTTGACTCCAATCAGCCATCTTTTCCAAAGTGGTTGGAAATATTCCAAGGGCCTCCTTCGATATTCTAGAAAAAGAAAAACCTTTCAACATATTTTTCCCTTCGGAAAAAAATTTTTTTTTCCCTTTTTTGCGCCTTTTTTTTTTTAATAAATAAATAGATGATACTTGTTTAAATTTATCGTTTTCATATATTTTATTAAATTGAAATTTTTTTTTATATTATTAATTAATTTTTTTTATTTATTTATTTCAGTTCCTACAATCGATGTAAGTGCCATTTCCGGTGGAGTTGCAAAATTACCATGTGACGTCAAATTACCATTTCCAGGTGATAAAATTTATTTAATAATGTGGTTTAAAGAAGGAAGTACGTCACCGATATACAGGCAAGTTATTATTATTTAATTTTTTTTTTTTTATTCTCGGAGTGAATGACTATTATTATTATTATTATCGTTTTTTTTTTTTTAAAACAGTTTCGATTCGAGAGGGAAACCGTTAAAAGATGGAAAACATTGGGCAAACGAAGACGTTTTATCGGGTCGAGCTTTTTTCAGAGCAAACGACGAACCAGCTCGTTTAATGATAGAAAGCGTTAAAGAACAAGATGGCGGAATATATACATGCAGAGTAGATTTTAAAAAATCTCCAACTAAAAATACTAAAGTCAACCTAACCGTTATCAGTAAGTATTTTGACGTTGAAAGGTTTTTATACTTGAAAAGGGTGAAGAAGTAAAAAAAAGAAAAATAAGAAGATGAAAAAGGAAAAAGAAAAAGAGGGAGAGGGAGGGAAAAAAAAAGAAAATTTTCGGTTGAATTTTTTTTTCAAGTTAAGTTTTTAACCTTAACTGAGAGAAAAACATTTCTCTCTCTCTCTCTCTTTCTCTCTTTCTCTTTCTCTTCTCTCTGTCCGAAAAAGCTTTAAAAAAGGAAGATAACAAAAAAAAAAAAAAAGGTTTGCCTTAAGGGGAAACCACATTCCGTGTCTGTAAAACTAAAATTGGTTGAATGGCATAACCGGTTTAAATATATTTATGTCGTCGTCTTCTAATTTTCTCTTTTTTTCTGTTTGTTTGTTTGTTTGTTGTAAATTCAATTGTTATTTTTACAGAGCGTTTGTACTATTGCGTTTGTACGATTGTGCGTGCGTGTGACGAATCCACATACACACGAAATTATTTTACATATTTTTACCTTTAAATTAACCTCGTTTTAAAAAGAGCACAACCAATTTTTTTTTTTTTTAAACAAACAGCAGAAGACAAAAAAAAAGTAAATTATTATTATTATTATTAAGGTTGTTAAAATTTATTTCGTATAGTTTTGCGCACTTGAAAAAAAAAAAAACTTTTATTATTATTATTATCGTTTCTTTTCCATTTCTAATGTCCGACGAAAAGAATTTTAATTAAAAAAAAAAAAAGTTTTCGTTTGTTTGTTTTTCTTTTTTTTTATAAATAATTTAATTATTAATAAACTAAACATAAGGAATAAGGTTCTTTACAAAAAAAAAAAAAACTTTTAAGAATACTTCTTCCGCAAAAGGAAAAAAAAAACATAAAAAATATTTTAAGATTTAACTAGATGTCTAACAGATTTTTATTTTCAAAACTTTTTCTTTTTCTTCTTCTTTTATTTCATTTCCTTTTCCGGGAAAAATTGAAAAAGTAAAAAAAAAAATTTATTTTGTTGTCGTCGTGACAATATAAAAAAAAAAAAAAATTAAATTGATAGAGGTTATAGGTGGTTGGATCACGTGGTCATTCATACGTGAAATAAAAAAAAAAAAAAAAAGGTTTTTTAAGTAAAATAAAACGGAACGGGGGGTGAAAAGGGAGGGGGAGGGGAAGGGAAAGGTTGATGACGACGACGACGGAAACGAAGATGATGATGAAAGAAGCAGTAAAATAAAGAGATAAGAAGAAGAAGGAGAAGAAAGAAATGAAAAAGAGATTTAATCTCTGAGAAAAAAATTTTTTTTTTTTTTAAATTTGGTATCCCTGGAAAATTATTTCGTCCATGTTTTTTTTTCAAAACAATCGCGTATAATTAAAATTTTATTTTTTTTAACCGGAAGTGAAAGAATAATTTTGTGGAAAATTTTTTTTTTTCCGTGGAAAAATTTTACGCTTTGTCAATTGCTTCGTGACATTTTCAAAAGTGTTGAGTTTTTTTTTCCCCCCTCCCTCTCCTTTTTTCTTACTTTTTTTTTTCTCTCTTCTCTTTCAAGTTGGCAGCACTTCAAAAATAAAAATAAAAATAAAAAAAATTTTTATTGCTGAATTTAACTCTTCATCTGATTTTTATTTTCTTGTCACGACGTTTTGTAGCTATTTTTGCGTGAAAAAAAAAAGAAAAGAAAAAAGTTTATATTAACGTTTTCAATTGGAAATTTTTTTTTCCTTTTTCTTTTTCTTTTTTCTTTTTGT